CAAGAGGAAAAAATACATCAGTTTCGCATCGCAGAATCCTTGTATCACATTAGGACATGGGCAAATCTTTGAGCACTAATAAAGACATTTCCGTGCTACCCAAGGAGTCTAAGCCATCTTACCTCTGTCTACCATATTATGGGACTTATTTCGCTATAGAAAAGAAAATGAAATGCAACTTTCAATTTACGCTAAGTAATTTAAACACTTATGGTGGCTAAAATATATCATTCAGCTGTTCATCCTTTCGAGGATCGTCTGCCTATGTACTAAATCCATAACAAAGACGTTTATATTAACTTTGGAAAATACGGTTTTCCTATATAATGTTATGAGGAAACTGTGTGAGCGAAAACACATTGGTAGACAGTAATTTACGTCAATGGTAATGTCCCCAATATTCGTCATGAGAGAAATAAGAACAAAGACTGACTCAAAAACCAATCATAGTAGACTTTGCGTAGGTGGATACAATTTACTGATAGATAATCTGGACTTCAAGAAATGGCCACAGACAGATGAAATATTAACTTCCAGAGAGAAACCACCAATCAGAAGACTGTTTGTTTGCTTAAAATAATCTATAATAATATACATGAAAATCTACAAATATGTGTCGCTTTCCTAAATAAACGATCTGTTGCCTGACTCTGGTCTTCTATTGTTACACAGTAAGTCCGCAGCCTAATTAATTTTCCCATGAGGTATGTCAATTACGAAATTCACCACAAACATTTCACATTTTTTCCATACTCCACTAATCTAACCTAATTTTTCCAGTTTTCCCTATACCTATAATTCTCACCTCTTTCTACTTTGTTTCCTGTCCTTTCTGTTAGGTGTGCGTATGCACCCACTCTCTCAGTGTTCCGCAAATGGTGCAAATACCATACTTACTATTTGTTCTGTGTAGTCATTCTCTTGATTCCCTTCTCACTGTCCTTTCCACCTGCACTAGGGCACTTATCAATGGGAATAGAGGACTGAGAAGCGAAAATAGACCATTAGTTGCACAGGAACCACTCACTGATTGAATGAGTTTGATTTTTTCTAATAGTGTGTGATACAGAATTGAAGTGGGACTCACAGAAGATGCACTGCTGTTCAGAAGCAAGAAAATCAATGCTAAGAAGTCACAAAGCTTATCCAAGCTCATCACAGAGATAACGGACATTGGTTACACCAGTCCACACTTCTGATTTCAGATTTATTGGTTGGGGAAAGAAGGCTTGAAGCCTATGTTAGTCCTTTTCTAGTTAACTTCTGGGAATCGGTTCCAACAGTTTATGACTCGGTGTGAGAACCAGTACCCCACAGCAATATGGTTTCTAATTGGCTATTTAACTCTCCTGCTATTTCATCTAAAGTGTTCCAACGTGGTGTGAAGGAAAGGGGAGAGTAGATCAGGTCCATTGTCATTATATAGCATTTTAAACATTGCAATTAAATCTCCCACCTGCCTACGGTATGACAAAGAGAAAAGATTTGAGCTGTCTAGTCTTTCCTCATATGATAAATTAGTCATTCCAATAATCATACGTTTTGCCTTCCTTTGAACCCTTTCGAGAATATCCGAGTCCCCTTTAAGACAGGGACTAGCTATCTGGATACGGTTTTCCAGTCTTTACCTCAAAGAGAGAGATGTGCATAAGGAGGTGAACATATCTCTGGTGGTTATAGCAAGGGCTCTGCGAATCTCTCACAAGGATCTGAAACTACGTGCAGCCACCTCGCGACAGTGTGCTGTAGTTTTTAAGTCTTGGTTTTCTATGACACCTAAATCCCAATGAGTTTGGGCTGATGGGGGCTTTATTCCCCTAGTTCGTAGAAGCTGGTGCTTGAGTGTCCAATTAGCATGGTTGCACATTTCGCTACATTGATCAGAAGCATCCGTTCCCTGAACCACTGTAATAATTTGTTGAGGTCTTCTTTCAACGTAAGTGTATCACTGTCGCCCTACAGCTCTCTCCAGATTTTTAAGTCGTCTGCATGTGGGACCATTGGGGAATCCGTGAGCACAGTTAACTCACAGGTATACAAAATAAATAGGAGAGGTTCGAGTACCATACCTTGTGACACTCCGCTATGCACTGTTATCCAGGATGAAAGTTTCGAGTTGATCCTGACCCTCTGCTTCCCATCCATGAGGAGTTCCTTAATCCATTTTAGTAAGATGCCTTTGACACCAAAAGATTCCGACTTCATGAGTAGTCATTTGTGAGGAACTTTATAGAAGAATTTGCCGAAGTCAATGAAGACTACATCAGTGGGTCTTCTGCTGTTCCTTGATATGACCCAGCTTTCCCTTCCAGTTATGCCATGATGCTTCTCTTGATGATTCCTTCTAGTGTCTTGATTAAGGTGTTGGTGGACCTGGTAGACATGTAGTTTGAGGGGCTTTGTTTTGGTCATCCTGTGTGGATAGGGGTTGCTGCGGCGTCTTTCCAGTCACGCGGTAACACTATTTGGGACAGATAGCCTGAAGGTCATGGTCAGTGGGCCGGCTATATGGACTGATTGCTCCTTAAGAAGCCTTGGATGGGGATTACCAGGCCCCATCGATTTCCCTGCACTTAGCTTCATTAGGCAGTTGAGCATAAAGTCTTGGTCGGCGTCAACAGAGTCTATCTTGTATTCCTCTGACGCGGCCAGAGGTGATCCTATTGGGAGTGACGACTCCTGTGTAAAGACCTGGAAGAAGCAATCTGCCATTGCTTCTGCTTTTGTTTGATCTTCTTCGATTGTGTCACTGTCAACAGTCAGGTCTGAAACATCATTGAATGTTTAATTCCTGAAGCTCATGTGCAAGAATATTTTTTAAAGTTGTGCCGTTGTGTTTTCAGCCAGACGTGTTTCGAACTTCATCCTTGATTAGCAGATATCTGCAATAGCTTTGTTCCTAACGATGTTGCATAACTTTCTGGTCTCAGGAGTCTCAAGTGTGACAAACAGGTCCCAGCGTTTGTGTTTGCGTCCGAGCGATTTACCGATCTCTCGGTTTATCAAAGGAGGCCTATGTTTCCTACTCTTTGTGGCAGACCAAAGGATGAAAGTTTCAGTTACTTGGGAGTAATGTGGCTTAAGCTGGTTCGATGTGGCTTCTACTTGTGACTCGGGTTTTATGTACCAGTTGACTGAGTTTGCTGCTGAGATGATCACATTTACATCTGCTTGTGAAAATTCCGTCCAGCTTGGGTTTTGGCTCATGATACTGCTGCTGTGAACTTGAATGTGAGCACAGCGTGACTGCTTCTTCCTAAAGGAGGAAGATGTTGTATGAGGTCCACATCCTCACCATGGGAAAACACTAGGTCCAGTGTTGGAGAGGAGTGCTGTGAGTCATAGCGTGTGAGCTTCATGACATTTTGGACTACGGCTAGATAACAGCTAGATTCCAGCAGTTTACAATGAAAGGAGTTGTCTGAGAATGGCATTGTGATGCTTGATCAGTCAACTGTTGGGGAGTTGAAATCCCATGGCTTCGAGACTTCGATATTTCGATGTCCGGGAGCCTAGCTTTTCTATTGGGAATTTATCTGCACTGCAGTCAAGACTTCATTATATAGTAGTGAGGTCAGTATCTTGGCCTATGTATTAAAGTCTTCAGAGTAGAAGCTCGCAAGCTTCACTTTCGTGTGCGAGAGCTTCAATGCTACGCATGGTTTAGCATTTCTTGGGGTAGATGACTACGCCACCTCCTTTGCGGCTTAGTCGGTTCACTCTATGAAGTTTGACTTCGTTATCAGTGACATCGGATGTGAGCCATGTCTCTGTGACGACAGTTATATCCAGATTTCCGGAGTCTATCATATTACCCAGCTCATGTGTTTGTTCAAAAGGCTGAGGGCATCTGTTTAGCAAACTACTGACTCAGTTTTGTGCTTCTGAGGCCAACCTATATAGGTTTTGGAATCACCAAACTTCGAACTCTGGCGACCCTTAATCCTTAGGTTTTTCTCACCGTTTTGGCACCGATCGCTTACTTCTAGGGATGCAGACTGTCTTTTGACGCGGCCTGCTAGACATAAGTCGACACGGACGTATGTGCCTGATCCTTTAAGATTTTGGGGGTTGCTTGTTACAGAATCCTTCTCTTCTTTTGAGTTTAGTACGGCTTTGAGAATGCGTACCGGCAGAGTCAACTTTTTGGTCGATTCTACACAAGCTGTGTAGATTTACACCTGATGCTGACGTAGGTAGCAGCTTACCTAAGGGGGGCTTAACCAAGCTGAGGTCATGTTCAAACATGACCTTGGGATCAGAAGCCGGCGATTCTTCCACTTTGTGGAGATTGAGTGGCCTGTCGGAGAGATCAGGTTCGCTTGAGGCGGCTTTCTTGCTCTGCGGTGTAAGTCTCTTTCCGTACTTCGTGGACAGTGTGATCCTAATGGTGTCTTTATCTTCCTTTATGCAGGAGACTACATTAGGCTATTCATTGGTGTCCTCCTCGCTACCTGTTGGCGATTGTGTCTGCCTGCTATCCACCAGTGAGGTTGAGGCTTGATCCACAAGTTCGTTTGCGAATTTAGCTGCTGTTTTTCGACCCCTGATACGCCTTTTCCTCGTGTCAGCCTTTTCATTACTGGCACTGAAGGGCTTATCGAGTATCGTAGGGGCAGCATGGGTGTCCGGTCCATGGTGGGTACTCTTCTGTGCCGAAGGACACTCACTCCCTGACAGGTAATGTGGGTTCACACTTCAATTTCAAGGGTAGTACTAAGTTTTTCTGTTGTCATATAAAACAGATTGGTGAAACAGTCCATTAAGTACTCATATGCACAAAAAGTAGGGACCAATATTACGTTTCACACAGTTTATCATTGGCACATGGTGTCTTCCAATAGACAATCATTCCGATCTTTCCAGTTTTCTCTAAATAAATAACAACCTTGTCATTTACTAGTGAACAATCTTCCTCAGTACCAGTAAAAATGAAAACAGAAATACAGAACTTGCCTTTTACTCTGAAGCTCCTCAGATGGCCTTGATGTAACTTGTGCAATTTTGAAATACTGACAACTAGTGTTTATTGTCAGTTGTCTGATATATTCCCATGACTGGATTGTACAATCTAATTACTGAGGCATTATCAGAAGAAGAAATCATATCTGAAATAAAATCAGCCATTCGATTGGAAGATAGTGATGCTTTCCCTGGAAATAAGTGCCAATTATTAGAATTGTTAAGGTCAAAAGGTATTGTCGATAAGCTGGTTCACAGAATCAAATCCAAGGAGAGTTCGAAATCTCTTCTAAGTGCTGGACAAAATTTGAGTTTTCAAGATTATAATTTCCACATACCGAATGCCAAACTGGTCTTAACTGTTGAGATTTTACAAGGAAGGGCATTCACAAACCACCTTCAAACTTACGAAGATATCCAAATTGAGGAATCTAAGAGCTCTGATATTAAAATGCAACTGGACATAGCTTATAAAAACTCTAGATTTCATGGCAGACACTTTTACTGTTCCACAGAACCAGTTATCAACCAGTCCTTTTGTTTTGAACTTCATTCTGACGACACTGATGAAAAAAAAGATGTAGGTTTTTGTTCCAATCATGTTTTATTCTAATTTAACATCTCATTTAACTCATAAAAGTCTGTGCATATAGTGCAATCATGATTAGGCTAGAATAATTATTGTTCCTATGTGCTGTAGGCTGAATCTACCTAACAAATTCAATAAAAGTCATCCAGCATTCTATCCATACTCAGCCTTTTGGTGTACTAAGATTATAAAGAACCCTCTCCACCTAAGGACTACATTGGCTCTCAAATTTGTTATTTTTTCAAGACTACTATATACTGTTGTGTATATAATGTACTTTAAAGTCCAATTCATATTATAGTGCAGTGTTCTAAGTGAAGTAACTAAGATGAGCTAGTGCTGCCTCCCACTGTAAACATAGTATTTTATATACTAGTTTCAGGTTGAAATTGGTAGGTCCAATACACTTACGTATCACCTATAAATCCGATACTCTACAGAGTAGTGGCATAAATAATGTGGTCCCTCATTAGGAGATTTCACTGTAGCGTCTGTGAGTGGTATTATAAGAATACACATAGCTCGGGGACTTTTGAAGCACAAACACTGGTTATATGCAGAAGTTTAAAAAGCAGAAAGAAACGCGGTTTATTAACTTTCAGAAATATTTTGGTTGCTAAATAATCGTATTTTCCGTTGTGACTACATTCAATTTTGTGCTAATTTGTGCTAATAAATATTGATCACTGAGAGATCTTAAAAATTATCATACTTTTTAGGACTGATGTTTGTAGGTTGTACTATTTTGTTTATCACAGTGGAGCTTAAAGAATGTTAGATACTTTCCATTCTCATCCATGTAAAGTCCTTTACTCGTATTTTCGTCTTCATAAGGTAAATCTTGAACAACTGTTGGTCGGCAAACCTGTTTCCTTATTACAAATTGTAATCACATCAACTAAATTATCGACTGGAAGAAGGAGTTTAGTTGCTTCAGCTTACTTTGATTGGCGTCCATATCTTCTGGGTAACTCCAAGTGTACAGAAGTCAGCCCTTATCACTGGACTACCAATGCATCTTTGGAACTACAGAGCACAGATCCTGATTGCAAAGTAAGTTAGTTCAGTGCGGATATCGTTTTAATTTGATTTCCGATGAACTGAACATTTATTTGTTTTCTTAATCACCGCTGACGTTTTATTGTGATTTATTGTAGTGTCTATTAGCGTCTTCAAAGGGAGTGTAATCTATCACTATAATCCCCTGTAAGCAAGTACCATTGCTAGGTGACAGCGGGAGAACGCTCGTTACCTTCATGTGTGGTTTAGTTCAAGTCAGTTTATATTCAAACAAGACCTCAAATTTAATTCAAGAGCTCATTCGTTTAGATAGCACTGTTTGAAGAGTAAAAAGAAGGAAAAGTTCCACTTATAGTTTTGATAAATATATTTTGATAAGTTATTTTGGCATTTTCAGTGACTTGGCTAATTGGTTTCTCAGAATATGCTTCGTCCTTATTGGTGTGCCCGGGATAACAACAGATGAAGTCATTTATTATTGGCTGTATAAAAATTAGAGTTCTATCACTGATACATTTTTCCTGAACAGGGATAAATAGTCCTTAAGAAGTTCAACTCTATATCTGTGGTAATTATCGTGGCAACTCGAACTGCTGCACTTCGGTGCCAAGTTCTATGTTGAATCTAGACAGACAGACAGAGAATTATCAAAGTATTTTAAAGCCAAAATATTTATTTGCTGGTTTACGAAATCACCTGAGCAGTGAGGTATCACAAAATATGTTATCAGTATCCACAATTCTTTGATTTTAGAGAAAGAAATCAGTCTTGAATAAAACATGGATACTCTCTCATTGACTGTGGATGTCATTGTTGCCATGGATCTTAGTAGATTTTTGCAATGAACTGTCAGAAGTTTCAACATCACGTATAGAATGACAATCATGAAGTATCATCATTATAGTTAAACGCGGGCGAATTAGAAATATTCACTGGCAATGTATATTATCAAGAACCAACTTGCTTACAAGTATGATAAATAACAGATATTCTACTTTCTCTAAATGACATAAAAGCTGAACAAACAGTATATAGCTGAAATGAAAAAGGTCTGATTCACAGTTCTCACATGATCAATACAGTGTCTTATTAGAGGACCAGAAATAACAGACTTCAGGATCACTGTGGCATAGATTTTTGTCCAGCTTGTTATAGAACACAAATGCGAAGCTGATTTTACGAATGCATTGAATGGTTTAATTGAATTTTAGATTTTCCCGTCAATTGATTGGACCGAAGTGCTCGGTCTCAGGTTGACATGTCGGCTTCTTGTGCAGATGCTTCGACTATGTCTGAGCATATAATTAGAAGTTAATTGGTGGATGGCGACTAGCAGGGGAATCCAAGATGCGCATTTCGTCCTATTTGGGAATCGTCACTGGATGTACCTGCATTCCGCAGTGAGTGATGATGTTCCCACCGAGGCTCGAACGCAGTGCACTTCGGCCCAATCAATCGAAGGGAAAATCTAAAATTCACTTAAATAATTAATATGACCCGTTACACAAGAGGTGGCTCTCGTGGCTCAAGTGATCTAGTGGATAAACCTTTGGCGTTTGAAACTATAGGCACTGGGTTCGATTCTCGGTGGGAACATCATCACTCACTGCGGAATGCAGGTACATCCAGTTGATGAGTCCCAAATAGGACGAAATGCACATCCTGGATTCCACTGCTAGTCACCATGCACCAATTAACTTTCCATTGAATGGTTATTGACGAATATTAAGTATCACATCATTTATTCTTAAGTGCTGATTAACTTCTATTGATAAAGCTGGAAATGTTATCAGGAAGCTGTAGAACTTGCCATAGGAGTACAATATAATTTATGTTGGTTTGCATTTACATTTCTTGATGAGTACTGATGAATTCAGAATTTAAATAACCCTGAATTGCCTAAGTTTTAGGCCTTGAACACTTTCTTTTTTTGTTCGGTTGATACTTTGTTTACTAATTGTGGTCGTGTACTATGAAACTGTATCCTCGCTATCCTTCTTCAAGTAAGTGAGCAATATGATCAGTTTGTTTTCGTTACAAGTAAAAGGAGAGGTGAATCCAACAATAGCGATTCAATTGCCCAATAGTAATCATCTCATCAGCTTCCCCTTGAAAGCTGTAGTAATAACAATAGCATGGACATCTAAAAACTTCTTCCTTACGGTTACCAGCTGTGTTGTTCAATCCATAGAAGTGTAAGCTTAAGTCACAACTTATTAATTTATATTCCTTCAAGTTTCCCAAAGTAAAATGCATTAAACTTAGTGATTGTTCTCCTTTGTTTGAACGAACCACAAGAAAGTTGTATTTTTGTGACTGATGAAACAGAATGTTGTAAATATTCATATGTAGTTCAGCTAGTCGCTTTTCCTTTTAGCTAAACAGATGTCTAGTATGACATAAGAGTGTTTGACGACCAAATATTTGGCTCAAAGAACAATTAACTTTGAGAAATCATACATCTGATATTTAACAGCCTCACTCTTCAGGGACGTTACCAGACATTACCAGTTGAAGTCTGCCTTGCATTAGATCTAATTTCTACTGCGGTTTATTTCCTCCTAAACATGAAAATTGAGTCAATTCCTATATTTTTATTAAGGTGAACTCCAAGTGTAAATGTTCTTTTGAAAGATTGAGTTTATTCATTAAGTTTATCTGGCATATGTAAATCCTGTTTGTATACTAATATTAAAATTTTATTTATCTACCTTTTTTTCTAGGTACCTGCAGGTATTCTTGATTTACGGCTTTCTTTGATAAGTCCTAAAGAATTCACTGAAACAAAATACTGCCGTCGTTCAGAAAATCCATTAGATTCAAAAATGTCTAACATAACTCACCATGGCTCATACAGATTAAAACAACTCTCACCTTCATTAACACAAGCACATTTCCAGTTGGAATCAGCTCGAGCTGTTGAAAGAGAAAATTCATTTACTAATTATGTTCGTCAATGGTGGCGTGAACTAACACAATTACGTGAAGGTTTTTTCACTGATCGACTTGTCAAAATATTTGCTACTGATGAGAATGGACATACACAGTCAGTTTGTTGCACTTTTTTTAAACTTGCTTTTATTTGAGACACAAGGTTTTGTATTATGATGAAAGATTTTATCAGTGGTGCAGCTGCTCAGTTTTCTGGTTTCTTAAAAAAATAAGCGAATAAGGGAATCACATTTTATACAAACCCTGGCTTTATTTACTTCAACAGCTAGTGCCGTTAAGGAATTAACATTGTAAAGTTAGTAAAAGACTTCTCAACAAAATACTGTCAATCTTTGGACTTCTAGGTACCACAGGATAACATTAGTCACTCACTGAAATAATAAAACTAATAAGGCGTTTGGAGTTAAAACACAGGAGTCAGACAACAGTGCTTATTATCACCAGTGATATTTCTAATTGTGAGGGACTGGATTATGTGTCAGACAGTGGGAAACGAGAAGACTGGGGTAACTTGGACCGACGTGAAGAACCTAGAAGACCTGGATTTCGGGGATGATTTATGTTTGATGTCACACAAAATCGAAGAATTACAAGCAAAAACTGACAAACTGGTCGAAGAAGCAGCAAAGACAGGACTCCAGGTGAACATAGAGAAGACGGAGGTTATGAAAATAACCAACCAACAACAGCAGCAACATCCAGTGCCAATCACCATCAACGGGAGGGATTTGAAAGAGGTTACTTCATCCACTTATCTAGGGAGCATTGTCTCGACTACACGAGGAACGAACGAAGATGTCAAATCGAGAATTTGGAAGGCGAGAAACACATTCATCCACCTGAAACCAATCCGGAAATCTTCGTCACTCACCATCAACAACAAAATTCGGATTTTCAATACAAATTTCAAGTCAGTTTTGCTATACGGATCAGAAACTTGGCTGGTCAGAAAGAATATTTCCAACAGGTTGCAGACCTTTTTCAACAACTGTCTTCGTTCTATACTGAATATCAGATGGCCGGAAAGAATCACCAACAAGAAACTATGGGAACAAACGGAACAAGAACCAACCGCCCAACAAATATGCAGGAGAAAGTGTAGATGGATTGGACACTCGCTGAAGAGGCCGCTGGGTGACATCGCGCGTCAGGCCAACGCTCGAGTGGAACCTGAAAGGGAAGCGGCGAGTGGGACGTTCAAGGGTGACATGGAGGAGATTGTGTGAAGAGGAGTTGAAACAGTATGGATTAGCATGGATGCAGGTGAAAAGTATAGCAGAAGACAGAAGCAAGTGAAGGCGTGCAGTTGAAGCCCTATGTTCCACTAGGGACCCAAGGGAACAATAATAATAATATATAAATTGTAGTCTTTGTTACACTACTGAAATTGAATAAGTAGTTGGGCGAAATTACATTAACTAGAGATGAACTTGTGTGCAAACTAACGAGAAATTAAAAGTCGTCGATTGAAATATTTTCATTCAAGTTAGAAGATGTAAACTGCAGGGTTAGTATTTTCATTGTATAGTATGTGGTTTAAGTGTTGTATATTGATTGGTTAGGAAGCAACTTACTTGGTGGAATAAATTTAGTTTTAGATACCTTTCAGTCGTTTTTGTTCCCTGGAGTAAGTACTCACTGTCTGATTATTGTTTATAGTTTGGAATTCAAATCAGTCACAATACGAGTACACCTCACTGGATTAAATATTCAGCCTTGTATTTGAGCAACACTGACACTTGATCTTTTGCCCTGAATCAAGTTAGTTCACAGATATATGATATCAACACAGTATCCATTTACAGCACACAATACTGATTACTAGGGTGTATAGATTTGATAGATAAATCGACAGCTATTCAGTTTTTTTCATTTAACTATATAAGTGGAATGTTTATTTACCTCACACTACCTGGTGCATAGTCAAACCGGTTTGAAGCTGGCTTTTTTTTCCTTCACATTCCCCAGTGGAATATAGGGATTCAAGCTTGTGATTTGAAGTTTCTGTAGCAGTGCTTATTTTACAGGATGAGGTGGCTAGCCTCTTGCCCAACCTTTCCTCTTCACCAGCGTTATTCTTGGGTTAGCGAGGTAAAGGGGCACGTTGGCCGGGGATCGAACCCCGGACCATGTGCATGGTCAGCGAGCGTCCTAACCGCTATGCCACCGACGCTGAAGCTGGCTTACGATAACTAAAACCAAATGTTTGTCTGTTAGGTGACCATCACTTTGGTAATCGTGTGTCAACTGTCACTTTTGGAAAATTATTATTATTATTATGTAGAACAAAGTAAAAATTTATTTACTTTTATACATTTCACAGATTCGTATGCAATTACATTAATCCACTCAGTGTGAGTTATGTACTTGAGACTCCATATGTAGCTGCACGTTTTATTTCAACTATACCATATGAACCATTCCATGGTGTTGGATCAGGGATAAAAGAACGTTGGTGTTCTGGTGAGTTCACCTAGTTTAGCATTTTATTGAATTATCCGGCTATTTTTGCTTGTTTTCCCGGGATTCTAGGTAAATAAAAGGCGTGATGAATTACTGCTAGATTATATCTATAAATCCATGTTATATATTTGGTTTATTAGTCTGTCAAAAGAGTAGTTAGTGAAGCAATTTGATGGCCAACCTGATAAAGAATTCTTATTATGTATCTACCGTTTGCCTAACATCCGTTATTCTTGATCACAGTTACTTTTCGTCGCAGTAGCTTTATGCTAAGGTCATATTGTATATTTCCTTTTTATGAAGCCTACTTTACTCCCATTCCGTTTACGCCTTTACTGCATTCTGTTATAAAGTAAAGCAAATTAAATCGATATTCATTTGTTTTGGTTTTACAACTATTTACCTGTTGTCTATGTATCGTTAATTTTAGTACTTTGCTTGGTGAGAATATTTTGGGCTGAAACATTGTATTCATGGCTATCAATAGCGAATCACGGACTAATTAATCAATAGGTTTTTGAAGGATGGTATGACTTCAAAAAGTTTTAATAAAGACTCAAGATCAATGTGTCTAACCATACTCAGGGTTCAGCAGTTAAATCGCCAACTGACTGTACCACGTCGCGAATCGACTAAGACGAAGGTCATTGCTTTGATTTCACTAGAGGTTGTAGGCTCCATAATGATATAAGAGAGACTTATCCTTTGCTGTTTGATTCCCGATAATTTTAATTAATTTTTAGTTTTAATTTTTGATTATGGCTTGATTCCAGACCGTATTTTTGGTACAAGTATAGAATTTCCAGCATGTGATACCAGTAGCCCAAATTTTTGAAGGCCGACCATTGATATCAGGTGTCCTTCGGCCGGGGGTCGGACCGCGGACCACGTGCCCGGTCGGCGCGAGTCCTAACCGCTGTGCCACCGACGTCAACCCATGATTTAAACTGTTATCCATTTAATTCCACTTATTAGATTTCGTCACGAACCAAAACCGGTTAAGGAGGTTATCGGAAACCAGGGTGCATTAGGCAGCTGCTTCGTCCTGTTCCAGGACTCTTCATCAGTGCGCCCCCCACGATTCCACCGGAGTTATGGCCCACAAACTATAGACCTTCGTATGTCCTTATTAATCAAAGGTCCCGAAATAAGACGAAACGCTGTCCAGTGCTCCTTGGTTTTTCAATCATCCCTCTAACTGATGTTGGTTCTTCATGAAATCTAACTTAAAACACGATCAAGAATGAATTTTTACTCTCTTCCTTTTTCTTTATAACCATTATTTTCTCTTGATATTTTTGAAATAGCAACTTCATGAATCATTGTCTCTGTAGATATTTATTTACACTGGCTTGAAACAAAAATTATGACAATTTCTGATTTTAACTTCTATTTACTCATTTTTTTCCTTTAGGGTTGGCTTTTGTATCTTCTAATCGTGGTGATGTACCTGATCATGCAAATCTACTATGCTGTCTATTATTGGGCTATGGACTTGAAGCTTATGTAGCTTTAGGTACAAGTCAATTCAGTGTAAATCCACATGTCACACATTCACCATTACACCCATATGCATGGGTTGTAGTTTGTTCTGTAAGTTTTTTCCAACATATTGAATGATTCTTCCATGAGTAGTATGATAGTGAAGATGAAGATAGGTCGAATAATAAAAGTTGTTCAGTTGTCTTTGAGCTTTGATACTTGATTGTAGACGTTTTGTGTGAATTGATCATTCTGTTGGACAGATAGATAGGAAGATACGGGAATGCTGAGCCTCTTGAAAATGAAATTACTTCAAGGTACTGTAATTTACAAGGGAAAAAAAGAAAAAGGATCGATAAGGAATAGAGAGTCATTTGCAATTAATAGTGTTCTCTGAGCTGGTTGGTTTGGTTGCGGAGGTTTCGTTGTCCTTCTGGACAACATCTTCAGCACAATATTTAGCATAAAGTGAAATGATTTAAATTTCTTTATGAGTGATATAAGTGCGTCTCCCGGTAACCATCTTTACATATGTATTGACCATTTTCTATTAGCTTGGATTTTAAACTTTCTGGTCACCTTGGTATATTTCGTCTATATTAACGTGTTTGTTAATTGCATTTTCGTTTGAGTACCAGGCTTCTAGGAATACCCTGGCACTTTTAGTGTTTCCTCTGTCTAAGATTTCGACATGATCCCAATCAAACTGATGACCATAATTGTCTATATGCATTGATACTAAAGAATACATATCGTATCTTTTCACGGCTGATTTGTGTTCTTGCATTCTGATTCGAAGGGGACGCCCACTTTGGCTGATGAAATGCTTGTTGCAGTTCATACAATTTAGTTTGTAAATGGTATCAATTTTATCCCCTTTTTCTGTTGGATCTTTCAGGTTGCATAATATCGAATTAAGTGACTAGACTGGTTTGTGTACTATATGTATACCAAACGGTTTCAGTATTCTAGCTGTTATTTCAGAGACATTTCTCATGTATGGTAGGATGAATTTTCTTGTAGTCTTTGATGTAGGTTTCTTGTTGGTGTTTTGATTCGACTTTAAACACTTTTTGATGAAATTTTGTGGATAACCATTCTTTTTGAAGACCGTTTGTAGGTACTTTTCTTCCATTCTTTTCAACTTTGGAGTGCTACAATGTGTTTGAACTCTTTGAAACAATGTCTGCACACAGTTTTGTTTGTGAGTAATTGGATTATTGCTAGTATAGTTGAGTATTCGATCTGTGTGCGTTGATTTTCTATATACTTGTGTTTCTAAATCTCCTATGTTCGTTCTCCTGATTAAGACATCTAAAAATGGGATTTTGTTATCTAATTCTTCTTCTCTTGTGAATTTGATGTCTTCAAATATGTTGTTTATTAATTTATGGGTATATTCTAAATCATTTCTTTTAATTATTACAAATGTATCATCAACGTAACGTACCCAGACTTTTGGTTTAATTATAAGTAGAGCTATTAATTCTAATCTTTGCATAACGGCTTCAGCTATTAATCCTGATATGGGCGATCCCATTGGTGTTCCTTTTATTTGTTCTTATATTTGAGTATTGAACTGGAAGTATGTTGTAAGGCATAACTTTATGAGTTCTATCCAAGTCGAACATTGCGTTTTTATGTTTTCATCACTATAGAGTAATTGTTGCATAGCTTCTGTTGCTAGTTTTTGACTAATTGAAGTATATAATGCTGTGACATCAAAGGACACCATTATTTCATTGTCTTCTACTTGAATGTTTTTGATTTTCTCTAAAAATTGGATTGACGAATTGATAGAATGGTCTCATGATTCTGTTAAGTAATTTAATTTCCTGAAAAGTTCTTTAGATAGATTATATGTTGGTGTTCCTGGAGGCGAAACAATTGGTCGTAAGGGAATGTTTGGTTTGTGTAGTTGTATTCTACCATAGAATCGAGGTAAAATAGGTCCGTTAGATTTCATTCGCCATTGATTTTGTTCTGTAATTTGTCCTGATTTCGTTAGTTTATTTAACGTTGTTCTGATTTTGTTATCTAATGTTTGTATATAATAATAATAGTAATAATAATAATAATAGTCATTATTGATAAAAATCAAGGAGAAAGGGAATACAGAAGAGTAGTTCTAAAAACAATAAAATTTCTATACCATTGATTGAACTGAATCAGACTAGTTTTGAAACATGTCACCTATGGTCTTTAACTATTTTCAGGTGAAAATCATCTGCAAACATTCTTTTTTATTGTCTCAAATTAAACAAGTTGATTGGTTTGTTACCAGTCAGAAAGCATACCTGTTTGACGTGATGAAGGGTGTTCATGAGTATGGAACATACGCTTAAATGCTAATGCCAATTATTTCTATTCTCCAACGCTTAGTGTACTTGTTTTATGTGACCAGAGGTTGAAACCAAAAGGGAACAACCATTTGATTATCCAGGATACGAACTACATTTAGGGATCAGTGATATGCTCAGCTAACCAGACAGCATATAAGAACAAACAAACGTAACACAACAGTTTGTCAAGTGGCGTGAATGTTTGACCGCATACCCTCAACTTAACCGGCTGACTTAAACAGTGAGGATTTGTCGAAAACCGTCGGCTAATAATTTTTGCGAATTAATTACTCCTACAATAAAAGTTAAAATGTCTGTATTCATGCACAAAACTGTTTTCATATCCACAGTAGGTAGCTATAACTTTGAAAATTGGTCTTACATTTTAGACACAACTTTTGTAAGCTGAAGGATGCAGCCAACATTAATATCCAGCACTAATATGTGTCACCGCTAACTGAACACTTTCTATTAGTGCATGAGAATAGTAGTTAACAAGAAGCGAAAATAATATGCGATACAAAGAATATTTTAATGCAAATGAAAAGAAACAGCATTTTCAGTGGTTGTATGTCATGGTTGTTGAGGCTGACAGATGTGATTAATTGACAGAGTTTTCAGCACAAACATCATCGAAGCGTTGTCCAATTTTATCAGGACCGAAGACAGAACAGTGCTAAGATTGGTCACGAAGTGTTCGGTAATGAATGGGAGATCATCATCCAATGATGTTGTTTCTGTCTATTGAGGTTATGTGTAACACTTGCAAAGCTACAGACCTCATAGAAAAGTAATTTCAGCTAAAGTGGGTGTATAATTTAGAAAAGTCAGTGCTACTATACGGATCAGAGACTTGGCACTGCGTCACGAAGGACACCTCGAACAAACTATACACCTTCATCAACAGCTGTCTTCGCTCAATACTCAAGATCTGATGGCCGGTCAGGGATGATCAGCAACAGGGATCTCTGGCAATGAGCGAACCAACCCAGCGGGAACCAATTGTGCAACAAATATGCAGGAAGAAATGTTGGTGGATTGACCATATTCTGAGAAAAACCATCAAGTAACATCACACGCTAGGCCATTGCTCGAATGGAGTCCGAATGGGAAGCGGCGAGTTGGTCGTTAGTGGGAGGTTGACATGGAGGAGGTGATGCGAACAGCAGATGAAGGCATCTGGTCAGACGTGGAGCCAGGTGAAAACGTTGGCGGAGAACAGAACTCAATAGAGACGTGCGGCTGAAACCCTATGTTCCTCTAGGAACTAGAGGAGATAATAATAATAATAATAATAATAATAATAATAATAATAATAGTCGTTTTATATGCATTGCCTCCTATTAATCTTTCAGCTCCATTGTTTCTTTTTGCTTCTCCCACACTCCTTCTCTGTTTTATTTTCAATAAATGCGTATATAGAAAAAGTAATGTACACTAAGACTTGTAGTATACAGAAGGAATTTATGTATAGCAAGAGAAATCGGTATGTCGTCAAGATATGCTTAAATACACGAGACTCAAGTTGAGCTAGCAATCGAACACAATGACTTCATTGTATTTGAATAAATCAATAAAAGATATGTTACCTATATTCTGAACAAGATATAGTGTTTTAGTATATCTTACAAGCATTTTCATCGTTAACTTGTCGATATTACTCGATACTTTTTATTATTATTGATTAACTTGAAGGATAATTATCATAAAATCACATTTTGGGATGCAATAACTGGACGTCGTTATGTACATACAGCTGGTTGTTGTGAGCAGGTCACATATCCTTCGCCATTCATTACAATCGGATGTTTATATAATCATGCTGCGTTTTATGCTAACATTCAGCCTACTGATAAAGTGATCGATTGCCTATTCAATTTAAAGGTAAATTTACTTTTTACTTAAAATAGACGATTGTATTGATGATCTTTTTAATGGAAATTTAAGCATTTTATTGACACTGAGTTCTTTCATAGGCTTGACGAATGCATAATGACTGTTTTGTAAGTTTATAACTGAGAATAATTATGGTTTGATAGATTAAGGATTCTTGAGTAGGCAACTCTAAAGAATAGCAGCCCAAAGGGAAACTACCTAGCGAACGTACAAATGACCTTGAGCAACCAATAAGGTGACTCTGTTTTATCCAAACGTACTTATGGGTGCTGTACACCTTTTCCGTTGCTAATTCGCTCCAGATCTTGTTTTGATTACTGTTTGGAGAACGGACTGATAGGAAGGTTGAAAAATTGCCAGTGTGGAGGTCTCATTCATATGCAAAGATACAATAGGTGTACCGATGGGTTTGTTTGTTGGTGAAATGAGTGCCAAATCAGAAAATCAGTTCGAGAACGTATGTCGTTCGTTTTTAATTTACAGATTCCTTAGGTACTTCTGATAAAAAGAAATATGATCGAGGGAGAATGAGTGTGTATCAGGAATAGGTATTGGGGATATATGACACTAACCTCCAGAAAGGATATATTGAGATGATCCTTAATCGCAGTGCAGGTGTATTATTGCCTATTATCCAGTGCTTAGTGCTGCCTGGCACGACTATTCATACAGATGAATGGAGTAGTTACAGTCAGTTATGGAGTCTTGGCTATATTCATCAAGCGGTCAACTATACAAATGGTTTTCTCAATCCTTTTGATGAAACTCACACTAATTCCATCGAAAGTTTCTGGATTCACCTAAGAAAACGTATCAAATCTGTGAATGGATCAAGAAATCTAATGACATACAGTTATCTGGATGAGTTTATGTACAGAACTTGGTTTAACATGAGTATGAAGACTCCTATGAGAAATTGGGAGCTTTTTTTGCAACATATACACGGACGTTATCCTTTGTTACTATTTTTTAATATTGCTTTACTTTTATATAAACGATTTTTTACAATTATGCGCCGTTTTTTTGTTCCTTCTGATTGGTCGAAATTGTCCTTGACAAGGTTATTTGTGCGTCCGCTAGGTCGTTTGGGTTTGGGCTCCTATTCTTTACAGTTGCCCTTGAGTAGAGTGATTTGATCAGTTTAATTTTTCACCTAAAAAGCATTAGAATATTAAGATAGATCAGAACAGCATTTTGCGTAGAAGCCAATCATTTCGACCTTGACATACTTCGAACTAGCACGATAAAACAAAGTAAATCGAATAAGAATTGTAGAGAAAAATAAACTAGTGAAAATATATGAGAAAAGCATTCATATAATTTCTTGAAATTTTCGAAGTATTGTGGGACTTCGCATTTTTTTGTATCCTCTTCGCATTCCACAGGACAGTATTTATCAGTTTAGCTACCCCTTCCTAAGTGGTCTTATTTATACTGTCTTTATTTGTAAATATAAAAGTCTCAGTGTCTACTGCATGCAACTATTTCAAAAAAAATGTAATGAAATCTAAACTTTCTTTCAATCTCAGTCATCGTTTTCCAAGCGTCAGTTTGAAGTGATTTGTTTTCTTACGAGTCTGATCACGAGCTGAGATCAGTTAGGGAACCAATGAAAAACTATGGAGTACTGGACAACTGTTTTGTCCTAAAGAGAATAAAAGACAATTGAGCGAAGAGAATTTTCTTTGAACAAAGCAAGAACTACAGTTTTAGCAGAATAAAGTGGTACCATCTTTTATTTCGTTGCCTTCTCGTCAGCTGCTTACAGGGCAAAGACATTAATAATATATCTACAAAAACAATTTTAACATACTTGCACAGAGTTCATTTTAAACAAAAATCAATCGATCAATATACGCATACACTAATAATAAATACATATATATGCAATATTAAACACTAATCCGAACAATAATAATCATATACAATGAAAACTTTTCAGCATCTCGCATTCGGATGAAAAATATCCAGTTGCCAGGGCAAAGAAAGACTGATAACCGCTTCTTTCTGGACGCATAAATCAGGTTTCAGGCGCTTGATGGAAATGGCTTCAGGAGAATTGAACTCTTTTGCCTATTCATAATTTTGAATGATCTTGCGACTTCCACCTCATGACCCATGACCCATGTCAAGGAGATGCCTAGCGATGGCACTGTTTAAAGCATTTGTTCCCTTTAGACATAGGCTTTTTGGTACATGTTCAGAAAATCGGAGGTATGCCCTTCTTTCTGTTCTTCCAATGTAACTGCTCCCGCAGATACATGTAAATTTGTATATACAGTTGGAGTTAACATGAGAAGGATATCTATCGATTTTTGATTGCACCAAAGAGCAAGTTGTTCGATGGACAGGAACGATCTTAGCTGCAGGATAGGCTATGGCTAGTGATGTGCTCAGCCTTCTGTTGACCATCCCTGCAATGTTTTCACCTTTATAATCAAGCTGCAAGTAGATTGGCTTTTTTCCCACTGTGATTTGTTTTACACTTGTGACTTCAGATCTTCCATACTTGTTGATAAGCCTTTGAGGGTACCCATTGCTCTTCAATGTCTTTTCGAGAAACTCAAATTCTTCCTCTAATTTCTCTATAGAGCATATTCTCCTCGCTCTATAGTGCAGAGTCTTGACTAGACCACGTTTAAAGCTATTTGGACAAAAGCTTTTAAAATGTAAGTATTGCCCTTTCCATGTAGGCTTTCGATAAATTGACTTTTGAAGACTACCGTCTTCTAGGCGTTCCATGGCAATGCTGAGGAAGTGAAACTTTCCGTCACTTCAATTTGAAGTATTCAAATTGAAGTATGCGCTGAAGATGTCGCCTAGTAGGGCGATGAAAGCTTCGCAAATTAACTATCCAGCTCAGAGAACATAACCACGTCAAAAAGAAGACATTACGAAGTGGTCGCACTATGTCTGCTTTTATGTCTTGGAGTGGTTTTAGTCTCAGGGGGACTTGTTTTTTGTGTATCTTCGGAAGGCCGTACATGTGTGGCAAGCGTATATTGATCGATTGATTTTTGTTTAAAATGAACTCTGTGCAGGTATGTTAAAATTGTTTCTGTAGATATATTTAATAATGTCTTTGCCCTGTAAGCAGCTGACGAGAAGGCAACGAACTAAAAGATGGTACCACTTTATTCTGCTAAAACTGTAGTTCTTGCTTTGTTCAAATTCATTAAGAGGAATAAGTGTAAGAAATTTCTGAAGAATTTTCTTTATCGATGAAATCATCTTCAGAGGCTATACAGTCGTATTTGCATTTAAGAAAAATGTATCGTAGCCTATTATTGAGTAATGGAGGGTTAGGTAATTGATACATTTAATTATATTGGCCGCCCCAAGCGGACACTTTCCAAACACATATCTGGACTTTATCCGGCATGGTTAGCAAAAGGACAATGCAAGGCAGTTACTGCCTCAATTCTCCAGCACTTGGTGAACTCAAGCCACGTAGCTGCACCAGGGTCGTCTTTCAAGATCATCTACAGGGTGAGGAGAAATGGTACAAAGTGAGTTAGGTTTCGGCTTTTGTGTATGGCGGAGACGCTGACAATCCGTCAATACAACCCCGAACTCTGTATACAGAAAAAGTTTGTCCAGTGTCTTATTATACTATGGTTTTAACCTCTTCACTAGTCTTTCCCTGTCGAAAAATTGTTTTTTTCAACTTTCAATTTTACTTTAATAATTAATTCACTATTATCACTCTCATATGTTCCTTTTGTAAATTTTCACACCCTCTTCACACTTGTTAAATTGCCAGTCAACTACCTTTATTCTCATTCAATAACCTTATAAAAATTTCTAGCCCTTTCTTCCTTTGTGCCGTTGAGTACTACATAATTTACAACTTTTATTTTTACTACTAAAGCAACCTCTCAGTAATTATATCAATTATGTCACCCCCTATAACTCAATAATAGACTACTATACATTTTTGGTGAATATAAATACGACTGTACAGCCTCTGACGGTGTTTCGTCCTGGTTCGGGATTGTTCATCAGGACGCACCCACCGGGATTTGAACTCATAACCTACCAGTTACAGTCATCGTCTACGTAAAACTGAGCCTAGTTCGCCAAGCTATATCAGTCATTTGATTTGACTTTGAATTCATCTAAATTTCTCCTTGATGTAGTTCGTTTAAAGGCCGATAATGAATAAATATGATTGTCAACTGAAATTCTCAGTTATTCAAGCAAGCCGAAAAATACTGGCCTGCAGTTACTTCATATAGAGTAAAGTGCTTTGTTCAGTAACACAAGGGCTTCTAAACTGAATTTTACTGTATCTTAGGTTTCTGCTAAATTAGATATACAATAGTAAGTATCTGTGCACAAACGAATTGGAGTTTACAGTCCATACACGATTTTACACAAATGTGAGAACTAAGTTTGAACATGTTACATCTTGCATCAATTTTGACATGCAATATTAGCTGACATAGGACTGAGTTAGACAATAAGAAATATGAAACCTATCCACGCGGCCTCTGATTATTGTTTTATGTGACGTATGGAGGTGTAAACCACCTGGCTGGAGACTTTTAGTGGGATAACTCAAAATTACTCTCAATGGCGTAAATATATTCACCCTTTGCGTTCTGCCGAATTCATTGAATTCTTATTGTTCTTCATGTAATTGTTCTTTCTGTTATACATTTTCGTGTATTGTAGTTTCATCGCATTTCGTTCCTCTGCTTTTAGATGTACTTTTCAGATGTGTTGCAACTTGAACTGCTGGACTGTTTCGCCAAACTCTATGTTCGTAATTCAGTTCATTTTATTGCATATATAGGGTTGTTTGTATTGAACTGAATAACGTCAGTGTTTTTAGTGTGATTTTATGGTTTTATATTCACTGTGAAGTATACACTGTGTAGTTTTGCTGATAGCCTTGAAACAATAAACCAGTCACATATTAGAGAAGCATTTTTCCACATTAGCTTATAAACAATTTGTCAAATTGACCTCCTGACCAAGTAGTATTGAATATGGCGCTTAAACTGAGACTGAAAACATAGGTGTTGAAAAAATGTAATTTCACAGCATCTACGATCCATACTCCACACAGTCACCATTATGTCAATATTTAAACCTCTGAAGGATGAGTGTAGTAGATACTCATCTAAGAAAGATATTTGTGAATACATAAAGATCTGAGTCATATGGTTGAAGATTCATCTCAGTTGATACAGATACATTTGTACAAAATTTACCTCTTAGTTGAAACATCACTTCCCTGTATTTTACTTTATTTTATAGCATTTCCGCTACATTTGGTTATCGAATTTTCACCTTTTTGCTTCTCCTTCTGTTATTTTCCGCTTGGTGTGCAGGTATAGGGTCTGGCAACTTAGGTGATTAAGTTGTAGTGTCACTAGGTCCTGTTTTTTTTATACGGTGTTCATCTGTCTGCCTGCATAGGAATGCACCTTAAATAAAAGGAACTAATGAGTCGATAAATAATTTAACACACATACAAGCTGGTGTAAATTTTTTGTTTCACTGTATCAATGACTTTTATATCGTTAACTTAATTATGTTGTACATAATGTGTTTTTTTTCAACCTTTAGGATTCATCACAATGGCGTCCAATGTCATCTGAAGTAATTCAAACTGTGCATAAACATTCATCTTTGTACCTGAGAAAATTAAATCCTCCTGTTCAAAATGTCAGTGAAATAACACTCCAGTGTCGTGAAAACCTACGTCGTCTAGCTGACAGATGGCGTATGGATAAGTTAGGCTGTGATAATAATTGTCGTTGGGAATGGGACCAAAAATTAGAGGAGCTATTACTTCCGTTAATTTCGTCTTATGAAGCAGATCAAAAGAGATTGTCGAATTACTATACAAGTGATAATGTTGGAGAAATACATGATCAATTTGAAAATGAATTGATTATTTCTTCAATTCATCGTTATGTACCCAAGGATTTTATATTTAAATCTTATCCTATCCAAGTAATTAAGTGTTTTTAATATTTGTAGGCTTTTCTAGAGAATATAATACAGGTCTTTAGTCAGTCGATATCTAGCTTTACTAATACTAGAGATGATATACAGCTTCAGAAGACTTTCTTCAATATACCAGTGGTAAAACTGACGGCCGTGAAATAGTTTGTAGTCGCATATTGTATTGAATGAGCAGGGCAGCTCATACACATTTTCTGGTATTCGTTCACTAACCTGGTATTCATATTCCTCTACAGTTTAACCAGGTCGTTTACGCGTTTTAAGCTATTTACGCCACACACATATTTTGGAGGAGAATCGGACATTATAGTTCACTAACTCTGAATTTCGGTCGAAATCTATCAGTCGGATTGTGCGAGTCATTTAGAAAATTGCATAATATGCTAGTTCTGTGTAGTAGGGAAAAATTTAATTTCTTTTCACCAGACGTGGATATTAGACAATACTACACAAAATGTACTATCAGGATTAGCTGGTGTTTATTTCGAGCCACGTACAAATGAATTCTGATCTCCCTTGATCCTGTTAACAGAAAAAAGTAGGAAAGTACAGTATAATTGTAATCATTCTTAGGAAACAACGAAGAGTTTTCTTTTTGAAAAAAAAACCACTTCCATCAGGCTTTACTGATGCTTCATCTAGTTTTGGTATCTGTACATCTGACTGACGTGATACGAGAAACTAGAAAGATCTGCAACTCACTACCTTTGATTGTGGAATCTTTTATCTAGTCATGTGAGGTAGTCGAAGGAGCTACAATTGATCATGAGAAGTAAGCCTTTGATCCAACCAGTTAGCAGTGCATGTACAGTTATTGAATAGGTAAGAGGTTCGTACTTAGAAAAATATTTAAAAAAACAGTAACCAAATCTAGTAATATAGATAGGGTTTATAACAGAAATAAACGGAAAGGCTGAACAAGAAAGGTAATAGGATAATCATTATTGGGGGGACTGACTTGTCATGATGGACACGGTAGGGACAATGGTTGGGCGTATTTCTTTTGGACACATAGAGTAGGATCGAGTTTTTGGATAGCCAGTGCCTCAGCTATTCCTAGATGTCTTGATTTCACTCTGTCTCGTAGGTTTGATGGGACTTTGCCTATGGCTTTGAAGGACTTTTCAAATGGAGCTGGATGTCCAGAATTCACCAGATGTTCCTGATATCTAACTGTATACCCCTTTGTGTGAATACTACTTTAGAAAGTAATTCTTAACACAGTTTTATGTTAGATAACGGGTCCGTAAAAAAGAAGTACTCATTCATTTCAAAGTACCAACTCAGGTCGCTCTACTTCGTTACAACTAAGGTGAGCGTAGCTTCAATAAAACAGGACTTAGAAAAGAAGCGACAGAAGGAGACATTTTAACACAGAAAATTAGATAAACAGAAGGAATATAACAATATATAGTTCACAGACAAAAGACGGATTTTCGAATCACTTCTGCAAACATCGTTACATGTACTACTATAAGTATTCTAAAGTAAACCCAAATAGTCATTTCTTCATATTAATCCTACCAACAGTTAGTAGTCTCATAAACCAGCGTAATATTTTTCATTTTATCATTGTGAGATCTTTTTTCTGACTCTGAACACCTTCCGTCTAGCATAATTCACACGGGCAGACTGTTGACGCTAATTTTGAGCATTATGCACTGTCCCAGAAATCAAATAGGAAAAAAAATTCACTGAAATTGTTCCAAAGTGAATTATTAGCCTTAGATATTCAAATAAAGTCGTAATGTGTCTAGATATATTCAAACTCGCATTTTAACGGTAGAACATGCAAGCATTTATTATCAATATTGTTTATTAGACAAAATTTACATACGGTAATGGCGAAATGCAACAATCTTACATTGAAACTCCAATTTGCACTCAGTACTCGTGTCCTGTTTCTTTTGTCTTCATTTTATGCTTCCATTATTGATTCACAGTTTTCTTCCACTCAGCTTAGTCTTTGTCATCACTACTCAAGATTCTTGCAACACACAATATGCAACCTACAACTTCTTGTAAGTATCACACGCCAAAGCACAACTGACTAGGAATCTCATAAATCTATGCATAATAGTATAAACATTATGAATTATTGCTTTGATGGCAAGACTAATAGAATTCCAACGTTCTGGTTGTAATCCTCTTTGACGCTAAGGCGTCTTAGGGGGCACTGGGGCATTGACTGCGAACGGTAGCCTGGTCATGAAAACCGAGCGGGATGGATGTTGGGTAGAGTCTCGTATCCCAATACCAACTGGACAGCTTGATTCGAACTTTCAGACGAGCTGTGAGGGGATTATATCCGAGACTAGTTTGCTCAAGGATGGTGGCCTCTGAGGCTTCGTCGGACTGCAATCGGTCGTGGGTCTCCGTGGCTGGTTGTAGGTCTTTGAAACCGTCCAGCGAGGTCATATAGCGCAGGTAGATGGCGCGACCTTCAGTTGCTCGGGCGCGCATGCTTCAGGGTTACGCCCATGATTTAGTGTGGGCAGAGCAGCCGTGGGAGTAACCGCCCGCTGTCCGAGGACCCAGTCTCTTAGACCAGACTAAACATTTTTGTACAACTGCCCCAAGAGGTGTATATGACTATTGCCTCTGTTCAGGAAGCATTTCGGACTTCTGGTGGTTCGGGGTGTGGAGTGTTCTCATAGGCTAAGGTGAAGTGGGTAGGAGCCTTCACAAGAAAGCAAAATCTCCTATTCATGCTTGTCTTGGTCAGTGGAGGGGAACCACTGGTGAGAGGATCGTCAGCACTTTAGGTGTTCTTCCCGTTTTTATGTCGATTTAAAGAATTGTCCCTGATCCGAGAATAATGGTTGTATGCTACCTGCAAGGTGGAAGTGTAATTATGTGACCAAATCATGAGAGTGGCCATGACCCGCTGAGGTGGGGCAGTACGTACCATTTAAGAAGCAGCCATTGTTTGGTTGAGACCAAACAGGGATACTGACTCTGGGGAGGGGGAAATGGGTTTGTGGGAATTAATAGTACCGCCCTGTCCTCCGGAGGCCTTGTTGAAAATACGACGTAAAACACTCAAAGTATATCAGTACTACTATATTCACTGTTACCAGTTATTTGACTGACTTATTATAACCACCTAAACTGTAAAGCAAACATACTTGTGAAGATTACCAAAGCCACAGAACTGGACTTAGCTTACCATTGAAGTTATACACGCTAACAGGTAGGTGTGTGCGTGTGAGTGTGTGTGTTTACGTCACTGGGCTTCTCAACTCTTTAACAGTGTATAATGCTGTTTAACAATATATATATATATATATAAAACTTTCACAGTTTTCACTTTGTAAATTGCATTTTTTCCCCTTTTCTTCAGCTGTTTCACTGCAATCCACAACGGATACTACGTAGTTGTCTACGCTCACAACTGTGTCGGGATATACTCGGTTGTCGTGGTGATCATGTCCGATTTGCACTTGGTCTACGTGTTTATTCTTATGCAGAGAATGCAACTGTTACATGGGTTATACTTGCATGTTTATACAAATCTGTGATATAAAAAAAGTAAAAAACGAAGTCAACTACCTCTCCTGATAAAATGCACACTAATTTAGAAAAAAACAAAAACAAAACAATTTGATTATTTTCATTTTAGGAAATTTTTACTACTACTATTATTACTATTTATTCCTTACAGTTCAGGTGGTGTACATAAATTTAACTTCGGTATGTTAAGTTCTCAGGCAACGTAACCAGTACAACAGATATGGATATATTTTCATTTCATTTTGTTTATCAATCACCGATACTTTTAGCTTTACATTGAAGGTAATCACTAGTGGGTTCTTAACAGTTTGTTGAGGTCAACTGGTTACATTCTTGTAAAAGTGTTCAGTTTGTTCATGTTGGTCATGACGAGTTGTACTAGCAGCTACAAAAACAAATTTTATCTTATAGTAAATGCATTCTAATCTGGTTCACTAATAAAAATGTGATATTCGATTTAATTGCTTTTGTTCTATGACTATCCATGTATTTGATGTAGTTGAATAAATCCACTGAAATACTGAAGTAATATCCCCTTTTTTTCCATTCCCGAGTGAAGCACAAGCTGCTCCGAGCTTTAAGGTTTTGCAGTTTCATTGGTCTTAATTGTTGTTTTTATGGGGAAGGGTTGCTAGACACACGTCTAACCTTCCTTCTTTTCCAGGTTTACTACCGGTAAAATGAGGTTTAGGAGTGCGTCGGCTGGGGGGTGGGTGGGTGAACCCAGACCATTGTCTTCAAGAGTAGTCTACTTTCATCAAACTACAGAAGGTTCATGAAGACGAAATACGGTTTATAATTATGGCAATAGGTTTTTAATAGGCGGATAAATGATATAATACGTAAATCTATTCATTTTTATTATAGTAGTGATATGTCAGATTATACATACTGTAACAGCAGAAGACAAGGGCCAGGCAACAGATCGTTTATTTACGAAATCAACACATATTTATATATATTCATGTACATTATTATAGATTATTGTTAGTAGACAAACACAGTCTTCTGATTGGTGGTTTCTCGCTGAACGTTAATCTTTCATCTGTTTGTGGCTGTTTCTTGAATGTCAGATCATCTATATGCTAACTGTATCCGCCTACGCAAAGTCTTTGTTCATATTTATCTCACGACCAATATTTGGGACATAAACATTGACGTAAATTACTGTCTACCAACTTTGGCTAGCAGCCAGCTCTCACCACACTCGTCCCCCCGTCAAAGACTTGCGACTGAAGTTGGTTTGGTCTGCTCGTTTCTAGGGGCTTAGTTCGTTTTTCTTGCTTTCTGGAATCTCGGCGCTCACTGATGTTCACCTGTTTCTCTTTGTTTGCCATTGCGATTGTGTCTGCGTAACCCCATCTCAAAGTGACCATATGTGGTCCTTCCCACTTTGGAAACTGTTTGCCTGACCCTGTCGCACATTCGTAGGTATTTCGCCTCACACTTTCATATGCTGCTTTCGCCCGACCTCCCAGCACCGTTCCAAGTAGCAGCCTCATCGCTGATAGATCCTGAACGCCACTCAACTGCGCAGAAGCCTCGAAGTCCTGCCCGAAGATCCATACTAGTTTGTGGATGTGAGTAGTGGGATGCCATTCACTTACCACTAGTAATTGTTAACCAGATGAAAGTGTAATAAATACACTGAAGAGCCTTGCGCTCCTTTGGCGTCGAGCTCATTGGCGGTGTTTTCTGTTTGACTCTACTCAGAGAACCGAATCAGTTGAAATCACCAGAATTCTGGCTGCCCACTTAAGTAAACTCGTAATATATTGAACAAGATTCATAATTTGAAAATTAATTAGCAAATAATTTGGGTTTCCAAAGGCGACTGTGATGAAATTTCCCTTCGAACTGTGTTAATGCTTAATCATGAAGTAATTTGCAAATTGCGAATTTGGTTCTTTATGTCAGGTTGTTCAGTTGTAAAATGCTGATTTTTAATGATACCTGCTGCCTTTTTATAATAAGGAGTACAGGAAAGCTTCCTTCTTCTTCCGGTAATCATATTCAACTGGTTTGCTTGTATATATCACTTATTTTAAGCATAGATGGAAATGTTTATTTGTGAAGAGTGGTGGGTATAATAATCTCTGTTCAAAACGCAAAAGTTGACATACAAAGCGTATTGCTGACCTTACAGTACTGATGAGACCCAAGAGATTCTAGTCCATTTGACGTCTCATCACGCTGAGACACACTGTACCTGAAATGTTACTGTTGAGGCATATGTGTATTCAGACAATGTAGTGAACAGTGCATTTTTTAATATTCCTTTACGTTCCCAGTGGAACATAGGTCTTCAAGCTAGAGGCTTGAAGTTTCGGTAGCAGTGGCGCTTATTTTTGCAGGATTGAGTTGCTGGCCTCATGTCCAACCTTCCCTCTTTACCTGTTTTATTACTGGCTTAGCGAGGTAAAGGAGTGCGTCAGCCAGGGATCGAACTCCGAACTACATGCGTGATTGGCGAGAATCCTACCGCTGTGCCATCGACGCACAAACAGTGCATTGGTGAGAACCAAATGACTGGAGCAATTTGATCATATTCTTTTACAATTTACAATGCATTATAGCATTTCTTGTTATTACCTTTTGAAAATCAACATTTCTACAGACAATCTGAGTTAGATTTCGTCAAGAGTATAATTTAAATCTACTTTCCTGTTGATATAATTTTAAAGAGTTAAACTGGAATTCTGATTCGAATCAGCTATTTCTAAGATTATATAATTATAGAGTCAAATTACTTACTGCTTTCTTTGACTTCATAGGTCGTTTTCTACGCATTTCTGAACGTTTATATGTCCCCCAGTTGTTTCATCGAACAATCTGAATTAGTCAGGACTAACGTCTTTGATTAAAATTAAAGATAATAAGTATTCAGATGCTTATTGGGACGTTACTATGTAGATTGAGGAAGTAAACCTTATAGGCAAGGACAGTGTTTGGAGTGATAGTTACTCAGATTAGCAGTAAACATATGCATAAGTTGAATAGTCGCATACTTACGTTTAAATGACTTTACTAGGACACGCAACCTCGGGATTAACATGGATGAGTCATCACGATCTTAAAAACTATTTTTATTAAAATAAGTGTACCTATATTGTTCTTTTATCGATACAAACTCAGTTTTTGGGAAGTGAATTCCCTTCATTTCTTGTGTTCATTCCATTTTTAGTCATACGCTTGTGTGAGTTTTGGATCTTATGTCAATATAAAATTACAGCTGATGAAATATGCTAAGTTATTAACATGTAGGAGCTAACTGGAATTTGGGCATATTTATTTCATTGTATATGAAGAGCCAGTGCGTCGGTGGCATAGTGGTTAGGACGCTCGCCGACCGTGCACATGGTCCGGGGTTCGATCCCCGGCCGACGCACTCCTTAACCTCGCTAAGCCAGAAATAACGCTGGTAAAGAGGAAAGGTTGGGCATGAGGTTAGCAACCCCATCCTGTAAAATAAGCACTGCTAGAGAAACTTCAAGCCACTAGCTTGAAGCCCTATGTTCCACTGGGGAACGTGAAGGAAATAAAAAAAAAATATGAAGAGCCTAGTAACATGCCTGATAGCGTCAGACCAAAATTACAATTATCATTCATGCTTTTCTTATGCCTAATTGCGTGCGGATTGCACGTTCTAGGATAATCCTAAAATTGGTTAAATCAGGTCCTTATTTTAGTTTATGAGACAGCATTATAAGTTTTTCCTGATTTATTTAATTCAATTTTAGATTTTCCCGTCGATTGATTGGACCGAAGTGCTCGGTCTCAGGTTGACATGACGGCTTCTTGTGCAGATGCTTCGACGATGTCTGGGCATGTAGTCACCATACACTAATTAACTTCTAATTACATTCCCAGACATCGTCGAAACATTTGCACAAGAAGCCGTCATGTCAACCTGAGACCAAGCACTTCGGTCCAATAAATCGATGGGAAAATGTAAAATTCAATTAAATAATTAATATAACCCGTTGCACAAGAGGTGGCTCTCCTGGCCCAATTGATTTAGCGGATAACGCTTTGGCGTTTGAAACTATGGACACTGGGTTCGAGTTTCGGTGGAAACATTATCACTCACTGCGGAATGCAGGTAAATCCAGATGACGAGTCGCAAATAGAACGAAATGCACATCCTGGATTCCATTGCTAGTCACCATCTACCAATTAATTTTTTCTGGATTAACTGGGGAAATTCAAAAAACCCTCCAGAAATCTTCATAAAAATTCAGTGAATTCGTATTTAATCTTTTATTTTTTTTTAATGATCTACTTTCATTTGGTATAATAACCAAACCAAAATATTGTAGTCTAAACGTAAGAAACCAATCGATACACTCTTCTGTATAGTTTGCCAAACTCGTGGTAGTTATGCATTGTCAAAATTTTTATTCCAACATTAGAATCTCTTGAACTACTGAACAATAATTATTTATATCAAAAATACAAAATTGGCTCAACAGTGCCGTCCAGCAGCTGTATAGCCCAAAGGTATCTCAGGCACAAAATACGCTCAGTACAATAAAGGACTAAACACATTACACTAGTTACTAACTAGTGTCCAATCAAAAGTGTCCAATAGAGTCCTACAAGAGGTCAATTGGGAGCCCGAATAACTCAGTTGTAACATCTCTACCTGCAGCACTGGGTGACATGGGTTCGAATCTCAAAAGGGACATGAGCTCCTTCAAGGTTACAGATACAACCTTCTGATTGATGAATGCCAACTAGCATGAAACCTTGGTGGAATGCTTCCTGCCGATTGCCTCCAACCATCTAATATCAACAGTTGAAAGGGCACCGTGATGTAGAGCCGCCTAGAATGGTGGCCACATTGAGCCAAACAAAGGATTAGGCACACACATTACACCAGTTGCTGACTAGTGTCCAACAACAAAATTAATTAACTAAAAACTGCCATAAAATACTAGGGGATAAAGAAGATTATTCCTAACAACATGAAACCGAAGAGAGAGTCAAACAGGGCAAAATACATTTCCCGCACACAGTTCAAGGTCAAACAAAATCGCAATAGTAAAACAACATATTATTGTCCAACAGCCACGTGAAGCACTCAGAATAGGAGTCAGCCAAAACAAAGATAAATGATAATGATTAAGTTAAAAGGAGATACGCAAATGTTAGAATGATGACATACAGGTCAGGTGAAAGACTTAAAATTAAA